TCTTTCCCTCTCCTTATTTCTGTAATTGTGCTGATACATGTTTTTGAGATGTTTTTTCCACTCTTTCTTTACTTCATCCTCTGGGGTTTTTTTGTGCTTTCTTCCATGTTTTTTCATTTTCTTGACCACCTTGTTTTGCCATCTCTTTTTATACATTCATTTGCATGTCCATCTTCCTTTCTGTTTTATTTTATTTGCCCTCCTCCCAACCTTCTTCCTTTTCACAGCATTGGAACACGGGAGGTAGTCACCCAGAAGAACTTGAGTGGCTTGGTGCCCATCCGAGATTTCAGACTAGATCCCAGCCTCCTCTACTCTATTCCTTTACTAGCTCTCAGCCCCAATTTACTGATTGTGTGGCTGTTTCTGAGCATAGCATACCTGGTGGCCAGATTACGTTGCAAGTGAAGATAAAGTTTAAAAAAACCCCACAAAACAAACAAAAAAAAAGTGCTTGAATGTGTTTTGCCACTTGGTACCTGCTGGACAAAGGAATGTGTCATAGCATTGTCTGCCAAGAAGAATTATTATGCCTTACAATTTTATGTTTCTATTGTACTAAACTGTAAATATACATCAAATTATTTTATCAGAAAGAATTGTATTGAAACTTTAAATTATTGTTCTGCTTTCAGTGCTTGTAACATAGTCTGACATTGGCCTGTTACCTCGTTACTTTAGCTGGCCTGAAGATCTCTTACCAAATATAGTTTTGTGTTACTTGTTTCATGTATTCCAGAGAAAGGAACTATATCTGAAAAGAATTTGTATCTTTTTGTATATTTAAGGTATATGCTAATCTTGCCTTTCATTTTTACGAGGTATAAAGAGAAAAATAAAAACACGGGTGGGGTTTATAAGAATAGTAAGAAATGTATTTAAAGAAATAAACAAATTTCTACCTTCATTTCAAAGCATAATATCCAAATTACATTACTTAACAGTTTGCTGAACCATAGTCTTGTTCCTTTCTCATGGTTTAGTATGTTCTAGTAGACTAGTGTACCCACTCAAAAAACAACTTGCAGTGTGCTGCATGCAGGATTCTTTCATTCTATTTGTAGATCTGCATTTTCTAATGTATTAAATACACAAAGCAAATGACTGGTGGTTAGGAAGAGGATGCAATTGGCATTAGCCTGCTAATGATCCATTATCTGTTTCAGGTGCTCTGGTATAGAACTTACTCTGAAACAGGGTCATGATCATCCTAGAAAGATACTGGCCTTGAATATTTCAGGCAAGAAGAGGGAGGTATCAGTTAGCTCCGTTAGTAGGTTGCTTTGAGGTTTTCCATTGGCCTTTGTTTTACTAGCACTAGACTGAATATTACTATTATTTCTAAGTGTTGGACAGCTTTAATAAACTATAATGTTGATAGTGACCTAGAGATAAGTGACTGGTGGTAAGTTAGCATTTTATTTAAGTGGTGAGACCACAGCGGCTTTCCTACTTTAGTCACACAGAGTAATTGCAGATGAAATTTGATCATCCTTTATATATAAAATCAAGCTGGGAGAAGCCTGTTTCAACAGAGAGATTTTGTTGATGCAGTGGTCTGGCAGAGCTTGTCAATAGCAATAGCTGATAAAAAACCCAACCAAACCTAACCTCATTTAATATATTTTACTAAATTCCTGAAGGGATTTACTTCGCTTGGTGCCTGAGATGACAGAAAATTTGGCTTCTGAGGAGAGCTCTTCTAGTGCTGTGGTTTCTGTTTTCTCTCATTATTAACTTGCTCAAAAAACCATAGGTAGCTATAGCCCTTATTATCAGTTTTAATGGAATTTGGAAGCTTCTGACAGAGTCAAGCTTCAAAACAAAAACACAGAACAAAAAATACAATAAAATCCTAAATTTGGTGAATATTCTAAAAAAAAAAAAGGTTATATTTGTGTCTTCATCAAATCAGAATGTACAGTACACTATCTCCTGGTATTTTTTCCTCACTATTCTTCCAATTTTGTTTTTAAAAGTAAAAAAAACAACAAACAGAATATTTATCTATATATATTTAAGCATGTATCCTATTTATTTTTGTTGCAGTTAATTTAGGTAAAGCCTTAATGCTGATGAGATTTCAAATCATGCTACAATGGTATTGGACATATCCATGTCCTAAGCTGATATCTAGTTCCATGGTGTCTCCATACAAATCATCTCTTTCTGATTGATGCTGGTTCATTTGCTGTGGGTACTAAAATGTACCTTGTTACAAGGTGAACAGATGGACTGTGGTTTTTTTTCTTGCAATGTGATGAGTGTTCTGGGTTCAGCCTAAAAAAAGATGTGAAAGCAACCTCAGTAAGTGCATTTCCACTGAACTCCTTAAGAGTATTAATCTGTTTAAATGAAGTGTGAAGGCTTTGCTCATGACTCCCATTAGGGCTGCAGTAAGACCACCTTTAAATTCATCAAAACTTGTTGGAAACAATGTGTATCTTCCTTTTTTTCTTCTTTGGTGGGGACAAGTTTCCATCATTTTTAGCTTGGAGCTTTTGTCCAGGCTTTCAGATTTAAAATGCTGTAGTGCACACTGCTGCTGTGCCTGCAGCAGAAGAGACATGGCACACAAAATGATGTGTGAGGTACATCTTTCTTACCATTTTTGTGGCCCACCTGTTCCATAGAGGGACATCTGATCTGCACTAACCAGATGCAGTGGAATAATGAATTATGAACAGAACGATTGACTTAGGGTTGAAAATGGTGTGGGGGGGGACATGTTGGTTTCTGTTAAGCATAAAGCAATGACATAAAAATAGTTTAATCATGTACAAACCATTCTTTAAAAGGCAGTCACAACAAACACCCCAGAGACAAATTTCAAACTTACTTAAACTGTTCCTTAATGCAAAAATTTACAATGTTTTATGAAGTTAAAGTATGTGGTAGATACAGAAAGAGCAGTTACAGTCAGTTTAATTAACCTGAATTAGAAGAATGGTAAGGTCAATGGTAAGACCTGGTGATGATCATATAATGGTAAAAGCAAAGAGCTTTCAAGCTGAACCAGAATCCAGACCATCCTTTTTAATCAGATGACCACAGTTTACCTGGTAGAGGCTGCAGAGATCTCCAAGAAAGGAATAACATGAAATTTCCACCATCAGGTGGTGTACTGTACACTTTGCCATGAAGTTCTACTATCGAAGCATTTTTTAGGTTTCATTTCTCTATCAGGGAAAGCCATTCTCCTGCAAGCCAAAACTGGTTGCTAATATATAAATACAAGATAGTGCTTCCTCTTTGTATGTCTCTTTTTGGATATATAATCGAAGGAACTGTGAAGTAAATTTACAGGTGTAAAGAAGCCTTATAACTGGAGTGTTTTGGTTTTTTTTTATTGTAGCCTGTTTGTAATGTGGGGCAGTTGCAGCAAAACATTGGCTACAACTGAAATTCTGCCCAGCTTTGTTTCCTTGGGGTGATGACTGTCAGTGCAGCCAATCTTTTTTGCACCCACACGAAGCTGCTCTTTTGTTATTATTTTTTTAAGACTATGTTGGCTTTCAAGTCAATTTATGCAGAGGTCACTGGACAGTCATTATTTTTGTATCAGCTCTAATCATTAAGTAAGTACTGGTAATACTGACATGACAGGGAACAATAAACTGACTTTCAAGCTCTTACTGAGAGAACAGCAGTTCTTCTTTTTCAGCTTAATATACTAATAAATTAGCAGAGCTGCCTGTGAGCAATCTTGGGGATCCCTGGTGCAATGAAGCGGCATGTGAGCTCCTCAGCAGTGCCCCCTGAAATACATGAAACCATCACGAGACAACTTTTTCAGTAGATCCACTGCTGCTTTTTAGAAATGCAAAACTAGCAATCAGACAGAGCATGTGTCCATTCTGTGTGCTTCTTACTAGCATTGTATGATGAATCATCCCTTCTAATATTTGCGGCGGCAAATGAATTCAACGCTCATGAAATATAGCCAACTTTTTGTTAATGCTATAAAGTAACCAGTTCATTTCATCTTAGTTTAAGTCTTTCCTTTTATTTTCTTTTCTTTATTTTTCCTTTTTACTGCTGTCATTTTTTTGTGCTTGTTTTTTTTCCCCAGTGAGGGTTGTCGGCGAGAAAATACAATGAAGAATGTTGGATGTCGCAAGTATGCATTTAATTCCCTGCAACTGAAGGCTTTCCCAAAGTATTACAGGCCTCCAGAAGGAACTTATGGAAAAGTTGAAACATAAGCATACTATGTCCTTTAATTGCTGTTCCATTAAACCATGTGGATTCACTCTAGATTAATCCATGATTTTGTCATCCAGAAGAGAGAAATAACCTTTTTGTACGTTTCACTAGGTTATACAGAGCATGTTACTTACAGAATTGGAATCTATAGTAACAGTTATTCTGACACCTTAGCTTGAGAATAGTGTGATGACCCTCTGCCCATTTAAATAGCCTTCAGTGTATGTAAGATGAACAGATATTGTGCTACTTAAAAATTACCCATATGCAAATACCTAGGTACCTTCTGGATGGACAAGGGTTCTAGGAAGGGCATTTAGGCAGCTGTTTTGCTTAACGTCTTTTATACTGAGTTGACATGAGGTTGAGCTTTTCATCAACTTTTAAAAACTGAGAGTAAAACTCAAAAGGTGTAAATAAAAAGGGATTGGATCCTACACGGTCTAGTAACTGTAGAATGCATTGTTACAATCAAGAATCAGAAGTTTAACTTTTAAAATGAATCAGCACAATAAAAGCTAGAAGTATGCATTGTTTTACTTGTATGTAGGATGCCATCTTCAGATGTGAAATTAACAGTACATAAAAGGCCAGTCCTATGAGGTCTGGTTTGTAGTTCTGTCCAAATAAGAAAAATTCCAGTTGTCTTTTGTAGATAAGGACTTGGACACACATCTTACCTGATTTTAAGAAGTGTTTCAGAAACACAGTGATGCTTTAACCGCTGATGTTCTGCCCTTCCCCACTTTAAGGCAAGTGCAACAAACAACGTTGCACGTGACACAATCAGTTTGTTCCGCATTAATTATATTAATTCACACACTTTTACCCAGGACTTTTTATATCACTTCTGAATTTTAAGCATTAGTATCTTGAGGGGTTACATTTTTTTAATTAGTGTTTGATTTTTTTTCCGTATCGATTTTGTGTGTCGATACAAAAACGCTCCAAGTCCCAGCACATCCCTGTTGCTCCATAATCAAAACTGGTTTCTGTTTGGCTTTGCATTTTTCCTGAACAGATGTTCAGAATCCTGAGGGGAAAGTATTACTGTTTACAGAGTATTTCTGAAGTAGGCAGCAATGTCCCATTTTGATAGAAATGAACTGCTCCTGTGCTACTGCCAGTGTGTGAGAACCTCAGACGTGTTCTAGCTAAGGTGATCAGTTTGATGACATTTTATAAAAAATGTTCCTTGGAAATCATCTCCCTAAAAATGCCTTTGAAGCCAAGCAGCTAAACATTAATTTCCAAGTTTGAACAGGATTAAGTCAACTCTTCTAGTTGTGTTCAACACACTGTGCCCTTTCCTTGTTTTCTAAGGATATAATTTATCATTTATTCTTGTGAGAGTAGCAACAGCCAGGTAAGTATTTGGCTGTTTTCTGATTTCTTTCTCCCTCTCACTGATGTTTGTCTGTGCTGTCACTGCTCTATCAATCAGTCATGTTCATTCTGCTCCCATGTAGGTTTGGGGGTTCCAGGTCTAGCAGTTTTTGCATTTTGCTTTTTGCAGTTTAACACTGAGCAGCATGTTGCAAAGCCGGGTCGGAGAGTTCTGCTGAACTAGGTTGTTACCATTTTTTTCAGGCTCTCTAAGGTAACAAAACACTGAATTCTGTGCAAAATCAGTGTATTGTGGTACCTGTCCCAAGTCTGAACAAATCATCTGCAGTAGAACAGTCCCTAGGAAGCTTTACAAACCCTGTTTGCCAATGAGTAAATATTTATTTTATTATATTGTTAATATGTAAACAAATATATGGTGAAAAACTTTTCAATGGGATCTCTTTAGACATGTTATTCCATCAGTTCTGCTCAACCTTCAGTCCCTGGTCCATTCTTAAATGCTACATTTATTTTTGTATAAACTATACTCTTTATATCCCTTAGTTTTTATGAGTTGATAATTTCATTTTGTATATTTCAGACGTAGTTCATTGTATTTGAAGTCCTGTATTGTTACACTAAAAATCTTCCAATGTTCAGCTTCAGAAAGAAATAACAAGAGGTCTGTTGTAACAATGAGCAGAGCCACTCTCTTACACTGTGGCCAACAATCATTAGATCTACTCTAGAGCTTAGCCATCCTTTATTTTGTATACCAATGTCACCAGAGAAAAAAAAAAAATTGCTGAATTTTCTATGTGCATGGTTTTTGGTCACCTTTTTCAAGTGGTGGAATGCCAGTCCCAAGTGCTGCATTGTTTTGTTTTCAAGACTCTGATTTCAGTGTGCTCACCTGGAAACCATCAGTGTCCAGCTGACATTTTATATATATATGCACGTCGAGAGGCTTCTTGAAAGGGCACAAATGATCAGGAAGGTCTCCAGGAGTCCTTCAAAAAAGCAAAACTGTGAAACTTGAAATCCACATAGGATGCTTCACAAGGGTGGAATAAGCTTTTCTGTTGCACAGGAGAGGCGAATTTAAGGGTTACTGTAAAATGAGGTTATGTCTAATCTTCTTCTTTTTGGAGTACATTTTTTAAATTATAAAACATACAAAGGTGAAAAAAGAAAACTGTTGCCAAGTATGTTCTGTGTATGTTCTGTGAAAGTACCTACAGCACAGTTGCCTTTTGTTTCATTTATACATGTAAAATTATTGTATAATACAAGACTGTTTTGTCCCAACACGACTGTATTTCACAAGCTTCGTGCATTGAAATATTTTTATTTATTTGGTTTTGGGCAGTATTAATATATCATAAACATATGGCTACTGTTTTATATATTCTAACTCATCCAATCCATGTATGCTGTACATGTGCTAGTCTTTAGGATGGAAACCAATAAAGAACTGACAAGAATAACAAACGGTGGCTCCATTTTAATGCGTTTGTGGTAAATTAAAATAAACACTTTCAGGTTCCTTGACTTGATGTGCTCTACCTGTTGGAGAATGTATTTGGATGAGTTGCATATGGAGACAGTTTACACAGATACACAGTTTGGGAACTGGTTAGTCTGGTAAAGTACAGCTGCTATCAACTTTCTGTAGATACAAGAGAGGGGAGAATTAAGTTAGATATTAGGAAGAAATTCTTCACTATCAGGGTGGTGAGGAACTGGGATGGGTTGCCCAGGGAGGCTGATGCCCCATCCCTGGAGGTTTTTAAGGCCAGGTTGGACGAGGTTTTGTGCAACCTGGCCTAGTGGTGGGGTTCTCTGCTCATGGCAGGGGGGTTGGAACTTGATGATCTTTAGGGTCCCTTCCAACCTTAATGATTCTGTGATTCAATGATTCTGCACCAGGCACCACCAGTTTGTCCCATATGTTGTACATTCAGCAGCAACAGTTAAACAAAGAAGCACTATGAGAAATTTTTTTTCTCAATTTGATAAACTTTTTCTGTACATCTTCCATAAGACTTTCCTGAGCTTTTTTCTGCTTTTCACTCCATTAACCAAATTCCCTCTCTGCTGCTGTTTCTCCTGCTGCCAACTTGTCCCTCCAGCAGGTTTAGTTGTTGTCTTACTTTTCAACAGGAACAGGTTGTCACACTGTTGATTGCAATTTGGATTTCAGATTAATTTTCTATAATAGTGTAAGACAGTAATCCAAATCATTCTGATTTCTATACAATATAAAGAACATAAAAATGCAATGCTACTGTCAGTGGATGTTTGAGAACAGCCAAATACCATTTTATTTGCATAAAAGAGGACTGAGGGCCACAGGTGGGGCTCAATGGATCAGTTTTTCTAGTTATACAGAAAGAAAAAAAGGACAAGGAAAAAACCCCCACTGCTTTCATTCAAAATGCAGAAAGAGAAGATGCTTGACAGGTGGGAATACCTAGATAGCAAGTGCCAAATCTATATACATACATGTGTGTATATATATGCATCTCTGAATTGCAAAATATTTAAATTGGGGTCCAAAAAGTATCTACCTTTGTTCCTTTTAATTTAAAAAGAGGAGCTGAAGGCATGCTGAGCTACTGGAGAAACTGTCACTTCTTTGAAGCTTTGGTTCATGTCTCCATAAATGTTGCTCCATTCAAACCCGGGTAACCACGAGCCTGGGTTGCCTGGGGAACTGTGGCTGGATGAAGGGCACCTGTATGTCCTTGGGCAGTGGCTCTCCCTCATGAATGACAAGGTTTTCAATCTGCAAATAAGAAACCTTAACTCAGCAGCAACCTCTTTTTGCCACATTATTTTATGTGTCAGGCAAACTTTCTGCTCCCAATTGAAGTACTTTTCCCATTGCAGCTGAACAATGGTGACCTGTGGCACTGGGTCCTGCTTCAGTCACTGGAGGCCAACGTGAAAATGCAGTTTCTAAGAGCCTTTTATCCCTTTCCAAGAATTCAATTTTTTTCTTAAGTCATGCCAATATTAAGTTGTATGTTATTTGCCAGTCTGGTCCTATAATTTCTGCTTTTTCTGTGTTCCACACAGACTTCAGCATCCAGTAGTTCTGATGTTTTGTGCTGGCTATTTCTGTTTGTGCAAATACCCCAAGTATTCTGAATGTAAACTTCAGCAACTCTTGTATTTTACAGATTTTTACAGCATAAGGGATGTACATCCCCTGATGTAATTTCAAGTTTTGGTCCTTGCAGTCAAAAATACCTGATGTAAGATGCTGTGTGTCATGTACCTAACCCCAAATCCCTAGGCCTGTTGACTGTTCCTGTGGGAGCAGGGTGGGGGAGCCTTCCTAATGTCACCAATCCCTGTACCCTCAGATGACACCCACTCAGCCTGGAGTCAGTCACTGCCCATCAGGCTCACTGAGTATTTCATTATTTCTGAAGTTTGAAAGTTAAAAGAAGAGAGCTTACAATGGCCAGTGGGACAGGCATCATCCAGAACATGAATTAATTAATTACACTGGCTGAAATTGGTGATCTGTGGTGTGAATGGTTTTGTTTGCATTGTGCTCCCATCAGGGTCGTTAAAAACCCTTGAGAGGGAGCTGGAAGTACATCCCAACTGGATGGTGGAGAAAAAAGGGCTTAAGTTTTAGAAAAATTCTCCATCTAATTTAAAATTGAAGTTTTAATGCTAAGGAATAGGGAACTGGAATATAAAGCAGTTACTTACCCACAGCCCTAGTTCTGGTAAGTACCACGTGTGCTTAATTGCTTCACTCTGCTACTTCACACAAGCTTATAAAGCTTTTTCAATATGCATAGCAAAGCATCAATAAAAATCTTACTGCTGCCCAGGCCTGATGTGACCTGTGCTTGTCAAGGTTCCTGTTGCTGTAGTACATAGATCCTGTGCTAAAATGAAACTGTCTAGACTGCCTGACTGGTAGGCAGGTAACTACTTTTTTAGGTTTCTGTTGACTTGGCAGATTGGTGACACCTGCCATTTCCATTTGGAAACAGAGGCAAGGTGAGCTTTAGTGTTCATCAAATAGGGTAGCAGTAAGACACGTCTGAAGGCAAAAAAAGCCCAGAGCTTTTAGTATTTGACTGCAAATTGCTTGAACTATAGCCACGTCTTCAAATGCTGTTC